GCCCTGCACCCGCATGAGAGACCAGGAGGAAGCACCTGGCTCCTGGCTTCGGATCAGCATGATGCGCCAGCCGCAGCACGCCGGCCACAGCGGCCATTGGAGGGTGAACCAACAGCAAAAAAGGAAGACCTTTCTCTCTGTCTCTCTCTCTCTCACTGTCCACTCTGCCTGTCAAAAAAAAAAAAGAACAGTCCAAAGAACCGGAGGGGAAAAAAATGAGTCCACTTACAAAAACATCAAAAATAGGTATAAATTTAATTTAAAAAAGAATTGTAAGCCTTAAACAATGACACTGTAAAACAGTGTTGAAAGAAATTAAAGATTAAATAAGTTGAAGTCTTGTGGTCATGGATTAAAAGACTTAATATTACTAAAATGACAATACTCTTCAAATTGATCTGCAGGTTGAGTGCAATCCATGTCAAAATCCTAGCTGCCTTCTTTGCAGGAGATCAACAAGCCGATCCTAAAATTCCTGTGGAAATTGACAAGATCCAGAATAGCCAAAATAATCTTGTGAAGAGTGAAGTTGGAAAACTCACATTTCATGATTTCAAAATTTGCCCCAAAGCAACAGTGATCAAAGACAGCGTAGTGCCAGCATTCGGGTAGGCTTATAAATTAATGAGATAGAATTGAGAGTCCAGATATAAACCCTGTAGTTTATATTCAGTTGATTTTCTAAAATGGTGCCATGATAATTCAGTGGCAAAAGGAAAATATTTTCAACAAATGGTTCTGGGACAATTGGATACCCACATTTGAAAAAATGAAATTGGATTCCTGTTTCCCATCATAAATAAATATTAAGTAAATACCAGAAAAGATGCTCAATATTGTTAATCATTAAAGAAAGGTGTGTCAGATTACCATGAGATACCACTTCACACCCATTAGGATGGGTGCGATTGAAGATATTGACAAGGATTTGGAGAAACCAGACCTTCAAATAATTGCTGGTGGAAATGTAAAATTGTGCAGTTCCTTCTAAAAACATTTTGACAGTCCCTCAGATGTTCAAATGGGACCAGCATTATGGTCTAATAGTGTCGCTCCCCCTCTTCGTGGAGGAACGACACTAAACCCTGCCTAGGTTTCCTATCCGAGTCACGGCACCATTATGTCGCTCCCCGTCTTCGTGGGGGAACGACACAGGACCCTGCGCTGTTCTTTTGTCTGCTCGGCCCTCCCCGGGTTTGCTGCTGGTTCTTCCCGGGTTAGCTGCCGTCCCTTCCGCCTCCGTGGAAGGGCGGTTCCCCCTGGCCACTTTCCCCACTTCCGCGGGGGAGCGGCACACCGCCGGCCGGCTCTCTCGGGGGCTGCACAGGTGTTCCTTCAGATGTTCCTCTTAGATGTTCCTGGTGCATGTTGTCTCTCTCCTCCTTTATAGTCCTCTTCCGCCAATCCCAACTCGGCTGCCCACACGCCGAGTACACTGCTCTCCTCCAATCAGGAGCAGGTCCTACAGTTTATTGGTTGAACTGGAGGCAGCTGTGTAGAAGCTGTTTCTCCTCTCCCAGTGCCATATTGTGGGAGAGCAGATGCATAGAATAAGTCTTAATTCCAGTAACTTAGTCTAGTCCGAGTTGCTCCCCACATAATAGGTTAAGCCACCACCTGAGATGGGCACCAGAGCCCTGCTGCTCCACTTCTGATCCAGCTTATAAAAAAATCAAAGACAGCATAGTGCTAGCATTCAGGTAGGATTATAGATTAATGAAATAGAATTGAGAATCTGGTTATAAACCCTGTAGTTTATAGTCAGTTGATTTTCTAAAATGGTGCCATAATAATTCAGTGGCAAAAGTAAAATATTTTCTTTTTTAATATTTTATTTATTTATTTGAAAGTTAGAGTTACAGGCAGTGAGAAAGAGAGATAGAGAGAAAGGTCTTCCATCTGCTGGTTCATTCCCCAAATGGCCGCAACCGCGGGAGCTGCACCAATCCAAAGCCAGGAGCTTCTTTCAGTCTCCCACACAGGTGCAGGGGCCCAAGGACCTGGTCCATCTTCTCTTGCTTTCCCAGGCCATAGCAGAGAGCTGGATTGGAAGAGGAGCAGCCAAGACTAGAACCGGTACCCATATGGGATGCTGGTGCCGCAGGTGGAGGATTAACCTACTGTGCCACAGCGCCGGCTCCAAAATAAAAATATTTTTGACAAATGGTTCTGGGACAATTGGATTCCCGCATTTGAAAAAATGAAGTTGGATTCCTGAGATGGGCACCAGAGCCCTGCTGCTCCACTTCTGATCCAGCTTCCTTCTAATGTGCTAGGGAATGCAGTGGAAGATGGACCAAATCCTTGGACATCCACAACCTAGGTGGGAGACCCGCAATCTGCTCCCGGCTGCTGGCTTCAGACTAGCCCAGCTCTGGCTGTTGTGGCCATTTAGGGAGTAAGCCAGCAGATGGAAGATCGATCATTCTCTCTCTCTCTCTCTCTCTCTCTCTCTCTCTCCCCCAAAAACTCTGCCTTTCAAATTAATAAATAAGTCAAAAGTTTTCAAAGTGCAGGTGCCATTTGACTTACCAGTTCTACTCCTAGGTATGCCTAAGATAAACAAAACTGTATATCCACATAAAAACATGTAAATTGATTTTCATAGCAGCATTATGATTACCAAAATAGTGGAAACAATCTAAACATCCATCAACTTAATAGAAAAATAAAATGTAGTAAGAAAACCCTAAAAAGTGGAATATCATTCAGCTGTTAAAAATAAATGAACTGATACATGCTACATCATAGGTGAACCTTGAACACATGCAAAATTTAAGAAGATAGTCAAAATGACCACATGCTTTAGGATTCCATTCGTATGAAATATCCATAATATGAAAAATCTAAAAAGAAATCATGTAACTTAGTAATTGCTTAGAGCTAGGGTGAGATGCAGAATAACTTCTGATAAATATGATTTATTTTGGGAAGTATGGAAATATTTTAAAATTAGATTGTGATAATAGTCCTGTGAATTCATTAATATACATTGAATTATTTACTGTGAGTTGTATGATATGTGAATTATATTTCAGTGAGCTGTTAAAAAGTTTCAGTAGAGGCCGGCGCCATGGCTCACTAGGCTAATCCTCCGCCTGCGGCACCGGCACCCCGGGTTCTAGTCCCGGTCAGGGCGCCAGATTCTGTCCCGATTGCTCCTCTTCCTCTCTGCTGTGGCCCAGGAAGGCAATGGAGGATGACCCAAGTGCTTGGGCCCTGCACCCGCATGAGAGACCAGGAGAAGCACCTGGCTCCTGGCTTCGGATCAGCGCAGTATGCCAGCTGCAGCACGACGGCCACAGTGGCCATTGGAGGGTGAACCAACAGAAAAGGAAGACCTTTCTCTCTGTCTCTCTCTCTCACTGTCCACTCTGACTGTCAAAAAAAAAAAAAAAAAGTTTCAGTAGAACAAAGGATTTATAGCCATCTTTGTAGATAGTAAAATCGGTAGTGATTACCATAGAAATCATGTAAGAAATTACCGTAGAAATACTGTTGGAAAGAATACAGGAACCAATACTCTTTAAAAAATAAGGGGAAATAACTGGGAAAAAAAAAAAAAACCAGGTAATTGCAACACGAAGGAGTATTTGGTAGCGTAGTTTGAGTACATAAAATGTAAAGGTAAGTGTTTTAATGATGAAGAGAGGGAGAATGTTCTGCATGTGGAAATGAGGAATATGAAGAACGTTTGCTGAATGTTCAACACCCCAAGATAATGAAGGTATGAAAGAGACAGCAACTATTGAAAGGACTTAATGAGGAAGCAAGGTCATCAGGGGAGAGCTTATGGTATTAAAGGCTTTATATTGACCATAAAACACTTTGGAAGTACCTAAGGCAACTTTCTGAATTCTATCAGTTTCCTACATGGGCTGTTTGTTTTAGTACCTTTTCTTTTCTTTTTTACTGATTATACATTTCATGAAACTTGAGTATGTTTTATGATGGATTACTTGATGAAACTTGTAGTTCTTATTCTGCTTAGTCTGTTTCATATCTCCAATGTACAAGGATGGTGAATTCTAATTAGTTTATTGTTGTTTTGTGGTAGAACAGCTATGTGCATACTTGACAGGTTATATTTCTAACTTCTAAGAAGTTTGTCCCCTTAATAGACTGTTTTTGCTCCAAAAATTATTGTTGAACTGTGTAGTATAATAATCACTGCTGGTGTCCATTGGAATATAGGAAGACTATGTTCTTTTTTAAAAATACATTTGCTTCTCCTTCCCAATTATTCAAACAAGCCCAGGTAGCCTTTTTCTGTTTAATTCAACATTTTAAAAACAAAAACAAAACTAAGTTCTCTGGAAAAGATTTCTCATTAAAAAAAATAATTGCAGTATTATAAGATAGCATGTTGTCTTTTGCCCTAGAATAGCACAGAATTTCTTTTTAGCAAGATATACTATGTTAATTGATCATAAAGATCTCAGAAAATTTTTGGAGAATGTGATACTTAGATTGATGAATCCAAAGATGAAGTTCTGAGGGAATAAATCCATTATTAGCTGTTATCTTCAAAGCAAGTACAATGTTCAAAATGATCAGACCAATCCTATCATGACAATGACCATTCAGAAAATGATACTGGTCATTGCATCATAATAGTATTTTCTGACTGAATAACATTTAATATTTTGTTGTCATTTTCGATCATAAGTCTTAATGGTAGAAGTTAATCTCTCCATTTTACAAATGAAATCCCTAAGATGCAAAGAGGTAAGTAACTTACACAAGAACATATATCGAATTCATAGAACTGGGATTCAAATATAGTTCTATGCGGCTCTAAAATCTGTACCATTTTCACTGTTATACTGTCTTAGTAAACTTAAGACCCAACTCTCCACTTTCTGTCAAGAACTGAGTTTACAAGAGTTTATAACTTGTTTGAAAGAATAGATCACTCTGCTAATTTTGAAATTTTCTGAGAAATAAGTTTGCTTTTCTTATCACTTTCTAAGCTTTTTTTCTTTCTTGTTATGTATTAGGACGTCTTGCTTGGCTGGTGTATTTAGTTGGGACAGTTGTAGGAGGAAGATTGACATATACCAGTACATATGAACACGATGCCATGGATGGAGAATTATCCTGTCGGTAAGTAACAGCCATGTGATTTATTGAAATTTACTAAATAATTAAGACATTTAGTTACTGAACTCATAAACTAAAGCATTTTGGACATGACCTTTCCAGAAAAGTATTCTTTCCCTTTTTATTAGTGAGAAAAGCAAAGTTTAGAAGTTAAATGATTTAAAGAAGTCAGATCTCTAATATATGATAGTTTCAAATATATTTTAAACATTTGAGCAAATAATGTGATGAGGATATAAGTTGCTTTTTGTTTAGAAACTGATAAAGTATACAAAATTTAGGGTTCTAAAATTAGAAGAAGAATTGGGGTGACATACTTCTGGTCAAAAAGCAATGAGTGTACAGTTATCCAGCACAGCTTTGTTTATGATTGTTAACTAGATTTTTCATCCTAATCACCAGAGTCCTGGTAAGAAGTGATTGAATTACCCTTCTCATATTTCATTGCTAATTTGGGGAAAATTCCTATGTTAGAAAAATATGAGTGAGTTGGTTTTCCATATGTTTTATTTTTAGTAATTTTTTCCATATGACAGAATAATACAAACTTTTGTCAAAAAATTGAAATTCAAAGAAAAAGTCAAATGTTAATCTGGACTTAACCACTATCATTTTGGTAAAGACGCTATAAGTATTTAATTAATATGTATGGATATATGTACATTGAATATATATTTTTTCAAGGTTTTAAAAACATTGTCATACTATTGTGTGGTGAAATGGTAATGATACCTAATTGATTTGGAACTATTATAAAGATCAAATGGGTTGATATTTTTTAAATACTTAGAACAAACCTGGCAGATATTAGGTGATATATTACACACACACAGACATATGCACACATTTAAATCAATCTGAAAATATCATGAACCTTTTATTTAGACATTAAATATTCTAAGCTATATCATAAATTTAAATAGACCTTTGTTTTTGAAATTTTAGGTTCTCTCTGAATTTTTCATTGTTATGAATTGCTTGAAGGTGAATATTATTTTAGTTACATCTTATTCAGATTAAAATAAATTCAGTACAGTTAATTCTTAAAAGACGAGTATAGTTGCTGGAAGGGAATGTGGCTTTTCAAAGACTTTGAATACATGTTACCAAATGCCCTTCTGGAAAATTTGTACAATATTTTATCCTCTGAATCCAAAGGCTACGAGAATTAGCATTTTTCAGTAGTTGAGCACTGCTGGATAATAGGATTTTTATTATTGCCAGTTTATAGGTAACAAATGTCTTGTAGTTTATATTTCTTTTGTTAGTAGTAGTGTCAAACATTCATTTGCACTCCTATTTTTGCTATTTGTATTTCTTTGTGATTTTCGTAACGATATTGATGGAATAATTTACCTGATGTTTTTTGTGATTTTTTAAAAAAAATATTTATTTATTTATTTGAAAGGCAGAGTGACAGAGATGGGGGGGAGAGAGATATAATTTTTCCATCTGCTCATTCACTCTCCAGGTGGCTACAACAGCCAAGTCTGGCTAAGCTGAAGCCAGGAGGCAGGAGCTACATCCTGGTCTCCCATGTGAATGACAGGGACCCAATTACTTGGGTATTCTCCCACTGCCTCCAAGGCACATTAGAAAGAAGCTGGATTAGAAGTGGAATAGCCAGCGCTCAAACCAGCAGTCAGATACAGGATGCTGGTGTTGCACTCAAGCAGGGGTTTAACCTGCTATTCCATAACACCCACCAACCCCTTGTGATTATGTTTTCTAATTTGTTCATAAAAACTCAGTATTTATCAAAGATCTTAATATTTACTATTTATTTTGAAGATGTTCTCTCCACGTTTCAGTTTGTTTTTGCTGGCTTTAAATATTTATAAATTCAGTTCGAATTTTCTTCATTAAATTTTTTTCACTCCTGAATAGTAAAAATGTATGTCAATATTTTATCCTAATTCTTTGATGATTTCAGTTTTTTGTATTTTATTTTTATTGTGTCTGACATTTATTTTGTTTTACATCCTTTCCCTAAAATTTTAAAAGTGTTAACTAGTTAATGCCAACCCCACCACACTCTACCAGTTAAATGCCACTGGTATCATACACAAAATTCTGTCAATTTCCAGGCCTTTCATACATTTCCATTGATCTTGGAAGTCTTTTTTTTTTACCACTATCACTCTAGTAAAATCCTTAAAGTCGTAGCTAGCTGTGATAATCTCCCTCATTATTCTTGCTTAATATTTAGTAAATTTATGATAATTTTAAATAGAAATTTTCCATTCATCCCATACGCTCTTCAACATTTAAACTCTTTTCAGTAGAATCTGAATTTAAATGAAAGATGTTTTTGTTTTTTCTTGATCTATTATTTCCTCTCTGTAACTCTGACTTTCAAATAAATAAATAAGTCTTAAGAAAAGGAAAATATGGCCGGCGCCGCGGCTCACTAGGCTAATCCTCCGCCTAGCGGCGCCGGCACACCAGGTTCTAGTCCCAGTCGGGGTGCCGGATTCTTTCCCGGTTGCCCCTCTTCCAGGCCAGCTCTCTGCTGTGGCCAGGGAGTGCAGTGGAGGATGGCCCAGGTGCTTGGGCCCTGCACCCCATGGGAGACCAGGAAAAGCACCTGGCTCCTGGCTCCTGGCTCCTGCCATCGGATCAGCGCGGTGCACCGACCGCAGCGCGTGGGCCGTGGCGCCATTGGAGGGTGAACCAACGGCAAAGGAGGACCTTTCTCTCTGTCTCTCTCTCTCACTGTCCACTCTGCCTGTCAAAAAAAAAAAAAAAAAGGAAAATATGTATAATAATGTATAATAGATGTTTGAAGGGCCTCTTTAAAATGCTTTAATTTTCAACAAGTGAAAATTTGCCTCTGTTCCATCTTTTAAGATAATATCACATATTTGGTAAAGTTGAGATCAAGTGTTCTTTTTGTTATAATTACGCTGGTGCTGTTTCCTGAGAAAATATATAAGGAAATAAAGCAGTTGTATATTTCCCAATTAGAAAAACATTCATGGTTTCTGTATGCAGCAAACATGTTTAACCTTAAGTAAGACTTTTTTTTTTTTTTTAAGATTTATTTATTTGAAGTTCAGAATTACCGGGCCAAGGAGGGTGGGGAGGGAGATATCTTCCACCCACTGGTTCACTCCTCAAATGGCTGCAGCAGTCAGGGATAAGCCAGGCTGAAGCCAGGTGTCCAGAGCTTCATCTGAATCTCCATCTTCTGCTGCCTTCCCAGGTGCATTAGCAGGGAGCTGGATCAGAAGTGGAACAGCCGGGACTCAAACCTGTGCCTTTATGAAATGCCAGTGTCACAGGCGATGGCTTACCCCACTGTGCCATAATCCTGGCCCTTCTTGCACCATTCATGGTGCTTTTGTTGTCATTGGTAGATGTTCATTGGCATGAAAAAATTTTCAGTTGGCTGTTGATGTTTTCCCATCAAAGTTGAATAGCATGATCCTTTGCCTTCATGTTTGAACATTCATATAGTAAATAAATATCCTTTCTGCAGCCTGCTTGAAGCCACATTTGTTGCTTTTTAGTGCTTTTTCTGAATATTTTACTGCTTATAATGACCCAACTGTAGTGCTGTTTGGTTTTCCTTAGCATAAGAAGGTATTTTAAATGCCTTACAGAGAAAATACATAGGTTTGGTAGATAAGGTACATTCAGGTATGAGTTGTTGACGGTGAGTTCAGTGTTAACAAATTAACAATATATATTATATTTTTCTTTTTCTTTTTTTTAGGGATATTTCTTTTTTTTTCTTTTTTTAATTTGACAGGTAGAGTTACAAACAGTGAGAGAGAGAGAGATAGACACAGAGAGAAAGGTCTTCCTTCTGTTGGTTCACCCCCCCAAATGGCCGCTACGGCCAGAACTGCGCCGATCCAAAGCCAGGAGCCAGGTGCTTCCTCCTGGTCTCCCATGTGGGTGCGGGGACCCAAGCAATTGGGCCATCCTCCACTGCCTTCCCGGGCCACAGCAGAGAGCTGGACTGGAAGAGGAGCAGCCGGGACTCAAACCAGCGCCCATATGGGATGCTGGCACTGCAGGCGAGGATTAACCTAGTGCACCACGGCATCAGCCCTAATAATATATATTAAATAACATGTTTTTGTTTAAACAGAAACACAAATAAAGCACAGCTATGATCTGTTGACAAAAATGTTATGACCGAAGTTTCCCAGAAACCTAATCCTGTATTTCCCATAAGAGCTGTGATTCAGGATTCATGAATTCAGTGTTCAAAACCATTTTATAGAACATTAAGTACCGTGAATAGAGAGAATCATCTGGATAATGTGGCATATTACTTAGAAAATGCAGCTGGTTGCTTCCTTTTACAGAAATTTCCCCTAAAGTCCACATGGAATGCTGCGTCTCACAAACAGTCCATGGTATGGGGGACTAAGGGCAAGAAGTTTGCTGTCTTCTCTCTGTGTCCCATTTCTTATTGGTTGAGGTCTGCTCATAGGTGTTTAACTTTTCCACACTTCTTAGTTGTGCTTCCTGATCTATTAGAGGAATTTCTAGGGAAGTTGGAGCTTCTATTGGTCCTGCTGAGTTGAAACTACAAGATAGAACTATGAAGGACCTTTCCTCTCTCCTGGATGAGTGTTTATAACTGCAGGAACTCTGTGAATCTTTTAAAGATTTATTTTATTTATTTGGAAGGCAGAGTTACAGGAAGGAGAGACAGAGAGTGAGGGAGAGAGATCTTCCATCTACTTGTTCAATCCCCAAAGGGCTGCAACAGCCAGGGCTGGGCCAGGAGCTTTTTCTGGGTCTTCCACATAGGTGCAGGGACTCAAGTACTTGGGCCATCTTCTGCTGCTTTCCCAAGGAGCTGTATCAGAAGTGGAGCAGCCGGGGCCAGTGCTGTGGTGTATCAGGTAAAGATGCTACCTGCAGTGCCAGCATCCCTTATGGGTGCTGGTTAAAGGCCCGGTTGCTCCACTTTCAATCCAGCTCTCTGCTATGGCCTGGGAAAGCAGTAGAAGATGGCCCAAGTTCTTGGGCCCCTACACGCA